AAAAAAAAAAAAAAAAAAAAAAGATTTCTTTTATTGTAGTATGACCCCACAGCCCAGAAATATAAATGTTGGCCCAGTGTAAATATTAATAAAAATAAAAAGTAGGACATTGAGCTAGAAGTTCTAAGGAATTTAAAGCATCTGAGAAATTCTTATATTTCTGGGTTAACGTCGTGACCAATAGGAGAGAAATGATGTTGGGATTGAAAAAAATGAACTGTATATAAAAATTGTTTTATTACCTGCTCTAACAGGTAAACTGAAAACTTATAAATCACATGTCTGACATTATCCCTGATTCATTTTACCAAACATTTTTATTGAACTCTTAATGTGTCAGGTACTTTTCCAAACCCTGATGATATAAAGGTTAAAAAGGCATGGATCCTCTCCTTTGAGAAGCAAGGGCAAAGGCCTGTGGCAAAGGGGAGCATGCCACATTGGAAGAACTTGAATAGGAGAAGACAAGTTGCTCTGTGGAAGTCCACTGTACAGCCAGCTTAGTAATGTCCATCTATTTTACAATGGGAAAAATGTATTTTTGACTGGATAGCCAGGGGCTATAGTTTGGGGGCATGGATTTTTCTTTCTGTGGCTTGTGAATGTTTCATTGCATTAATTTATTTGACCTTTTTGATGTGCATTAGTATTAAGTTCATTAAATATTTATTAACCATTAGACATAGTATTCTAAACCAAGTTGGATTGAGGAATACAAAGACTGAGATACAGTGTCCATGTCTTATCAGTTCACAATTATTTAAGTAGACTGATGGAACACACCTGTAAGAATTCAACTGTAATCAAAGTAAAGCCCACATGCCATGGATGACATTGTTCCTCATAAATTTGAGGGTGGGGCCAGTGTTATGTCTATTTTAACATGTAAGGTATCTGAGAGAATAAATGAATTAATGACAAAACTGACTCAAACCCAGATCTACAATTTGATCTTTGTGTGTGTGTCCTTTGAAATGGATAGAATAAAAAGTAACAATAATAATGACAACTAATATTTATTCAACACTTAGGTACTAGGCATTGTGCTGAGCGTTTTACATAATTATCTGATTTAATCCTTAAAAAATATGAGGTAGTTACTTTTGTTACATGTGAGAAAAACAAGGCTCAGGGATAAATTGCTGAAAACCAGTAGCTAGTAAGTAGCAAGCCAAGACTCAGACTGGGGGGGGGGTCTGAAAGTTTTAGAGAGGAAATAACAGTCTGTTGGCAACGTAATAACACCAGTGTTTCATGGTCTTTGACTTTTGAATTTATCAAAACTTGTTGAGACATTTATACTACTTTTCTATGCAGTTAGAGAATTTTAAACATTCGTTTTATAATTAAATGTTAATTCTTTAAATAGTAGGTCTGGTTTCTAGTGAATTGTGGAAATTTACTGTCATACTATATGTTGTAATCTCTGATACCAGCTCATTTTTTGGTTACTTTTTTTTGGTTGATTTCAAATAGATCAGAGGTTGGATCTGTGCAAACTTGGGCCAAATGACAATGATACAGTTAGAGGACAGATAGTAGGTAAGTGTGGAATTTAAAGTTACATGAATTTTGGCCTCATTCAAATTGACCTAAAGTCTAAATGCCTTATAGATCAAAATATAATAACTATAGTTTCATTGTTTTAGCATGCATTAAATGTGAGTCATGTAAAATATTATAAACAGTGAATTTGGAATTAGCTTAATTTTAAAAACTTTAAATAATGTAAAAAAAGTAGCAACTCCTAGTTGTGAAGAACTGGTGATTTTTTAGGAAGGAATTCTTTAAAAGCATTCAGATACAGCATAGTGCTGAGATAAACTTTATAGGTGGTATTAATAGTTTTCTGAAAATGATTTTCAAACTAGTGTTTGAGTAAGAAGAGAATACTCTGTTGAACTCTGTGTTTAGTGTTTAATGCTTTTCAGTTTCAAAATCTGGGCTATAGAAAAAAATTGAATGAACAGTGATAGTGTAACACTGATTGGAAAAAGGGAGAAATTGTTAGCTTACTCATCATAAGGCACTTACTGGACTGGTAGGCCATCTTGAATTAACCTAGAGGGAAGGGCTTGATATAAAATTTGTTTATAATCTTTGTAATTAATGATTTTTAAAGCTGTATCATTACTTAATCATTGAACTTTTTAGTTATTTTTCACTGTTACAAGATTTAAACTTGTAAACATCTTTGTATACTTTGCTTTATCCTTTTTTATAATTGCTGCCTTAGGGAAAAGTACTCCCAAATTGAAATTGAGATAATTCAAGGAGTACAAATGTCTTTAAAACTGTTACTCAAGGCTTTCTACTTGTGAAGTTTTTTTGTTTTATTTATAAAATAAAATCTAAATATTGACAGAGAACCTAAAGAACACATATAAGAGATCATCATTGTTAACACCTTGATGTATACCTTTTTTATGTGTTTTCTTAAAATGAGATTATACCATGCTTTTTTTTTTTCTTTTGAGAAGGTCATTCTGTCGCTCAAGCTGGAGTGCAATGGCCTCATCATAACTTACTGTAGCCTCAAACTCTTGGGCTAAAGCGATCCTCTGCTTCAGCCTCCTGAGCGGCTTAGACTACAGGCATGTGCCATCATACCCAGCTAATTTATATATATATATATGTATATATATATATATATAAAAATATTTGAGACAAAGTCTCACTATGTCACCCTCGGTAGAGTGCTGTGGCGTCCCAGCTCACATCAACCTCCAATCTTGGCCTTAAGCAATCTCTTGCCTTAATCTCCCAAATAGCTGGGACTACAGGTGCCCACCACAACGCCCAACCATTTTTTTTTGGTTGTTGTTGTTATTGTTGTAGTTGTCATTGTTGTTTAGTAGGCTCGGGCTAAGTTCGAACCTATAAGTGTGAGCCACCCCGTGCCTGGTCTCTAGTGTATTTTTTTTTAAGATGGTCAGATATTAGGCTAGGCATGGTGGCTCATGCCCGCCTGGGTGTATGTGGCTGGTGCCCTAACCACTAAGCTATGGGTGCTGAGCCAATTTTTCTATTTTTTGTAGAGATAGGGGGACAGGGAGTCTTGTCTTGTTTTTGCTCAGGCTGATCTTAAATTCCTGTCATGCATTTTTTTGTAACTTACTTTAATCTGTCATAAACATTTTTTGGCTGCAAGGTTATACTTCTTTTTTTTTTTTTTTT